TTAAAAATATTTTTTTAAAAAAATTTAAAAATAAAGAAATAGCACAAGAATTCTTCTTACAAGGGAGGATGGTGAGATTACATTTACTGTACTTTGGACATGCCATCAGGTTTAGAAAGGAGTCCCAGAAGACCATTCTTGGAAGAGTAGTGTATGTTGTTATGCCAGAACTGACCCATAGCTGACCTTTTCCCCTCAACAGCTTTACAGAGGCTATAAACCACATGAGAGGAGGTTACCCCACCCCATCTTTCTTCCATGGAGCAGCTGGTGGATTTGAACGGCGTGGCTTCAAGGTGGTAGCACAGTGCCTGACCAGAATCTGACTGCCAGAATCTGACAGTCAGCAAAAACAGAGGAAGGCCTTCCCAAAGATAGACTGGACTGATGCAAACACTGCAGTGATGGACTCAAGCCTGGCAATGGCTATGAGGCTGGCACGAGACTGAGTAGGGTTTCATCAGGCCATGTGTGGTGTTGCTCTAAGTCGGATCCAACCGAACAGCACCACCAACGGTACCATGAGAGATCACCGGCTGGCAAAGGTGTCGTGACTTCTCGGACTCTGCCTCTGGGAAACATCCAGGCACTTTAATCCAATAATCCTGAGGCTAAGCAGGCAATTGCTATCTAGACTCGCCCCAATCTTCCACCTTCAATTTAGATGGAAAAACTGAGCCTGAAACACAAATGAGATAATGGGATTTCTAGCAAATCAAATACTTTCAGGAGGTTAGCAGTGAAGTGTTTTAACTACTGTTGTTGTTGTTGTTATGTGCCATCAAGTGGCCTGCAACTCATAGCGGCCCTATGTACAACAGCCCTAAATACTGCTTTGTCCTGTGCCAACTGCACTGTCTCTGACACACCTACTCCCATTACCCGAGTCACTGAATCAATCCACCTCATACAAGGTCTTCCCCTCCTGTGCTTTCCCTCCAACCTCCCACGCATGACATCCTTCTCCAAGGACTGGTCCCTCCTTGCAACATGTCCAAAGTATGT